CCAATGCCACTCCAACACTTACAACAAGTACGACTACTACCACTACTATTGCTACCATACTCATTCGATTGGTGCTACTCGTATTCCTACGACCACGACACCTACGACTTTGACAACGCCTGCTACGACTACTACCACGACGACGACTACGACTACTACTGGTACTACTACTCCTATTATTATTATTATTTCTACGACGACTAATACTACCACTGCTTCTAATACAATTCCTACTGGGAATATTTTTACTACGTTCGCTGGGGACATCCACTCAGCCTTGACCTCGGAGGCGCGCGGAAGGCCCAAATGACTTCATACACGATGACCCGCTGACCCCATGGCCCAAGTGCTTCGTGTCGCGTGGCCGTCCGTCTTGCGCACGCCATTTTTGCTTCCGCAACCCCGCGCTGCCACCTGCTTCGTCGTCAGGGCCGCTCCCCATCGGTTACCTTGCCATGGCGGACAAGCTGGAGACCGTGAACGAGCGCAATTGCGGGACCAAGGTTGTGCACGTGCGCGTGTTCAACCCCAGGGTGCACACAGCCCAAAAGAACGCAGACGTCTTCACTTGCGCGCTGGTCAGTGAATCAGGATTATACTGCATGGCCGAGCAGATGGCGCGGGGCGACAACCCCGCGGCGCGCGCCCGGACAACCAAAGCTCTGACGGATAAGTGGACCCCCAAGTCGTCGTGGGCTCTATCCAAGTTGAAGATGGTGCGCAAGAAAGACGCCTTCCACGGCAGTCCGCACCCCTGCGTCTTGCAGCTGAGCAACAAAACCATGGTCGCCAAAGTTTTGCCGCCCCAGCAGGCGAACAAATTGCCAAACGAAGTAGAACCATCTATGAGCATTCACGACGTACTTGAACTGTCCCAGGGCCAAGCAGTTGACTTGTGCGGCTTCGTCACCGACATCTCCACCCAAGGCACATTCAAGGACGAGAAATTGGTGGTGTCCTCTGCGTGCGATGCATCCAAAAACGCCATCGCCCTGAAGTTTTGGGAGGAGTCCATCCCGCAGGCACAGCAGCTTCACAACAAGGAGCCTGTCTACATTTTCGGTGCGTACCTGGTGAAGTCCGACAACGGCGGCGTCCACCTCACAGTGCGCAACTCCACCATTTTCACCCAGCCCACAGGCTCCTCTCCCAAAGTGGCAGCGATGCTTGCCGCTGGCGTCCGAGACCTCGCCAAAGACGACCTGGCCAGCCTCTCGGTGTACGACTCCACGAACTACAAAGATGGGCCTGCCGTGAGTTCCACGTCGGCAATTCTGGACATGCTCTTACAGAGCAAGGCCGTGGCTCCAGATAAGCTGTTCGAAATCCCCGCCGCCTCCTTTTCCCTCAGCGACACGGAGAACTTGCTGACCAAGGCCGGGGACCGCGCGCGGGCGTCCGTGCGCATGTCCGACTACACCGGCTCGGTCGACGCTAAGATCACGGAGACGGCTGCCCTCGCGTTGACGGGGTGCGCTGACAAGACCGAGTTCCAAGACGAAGTCGCGCAAGGGTCCATGACGTGGTCTCGGGCGCGCGTCCGCGCAACGCTGGCTGCGTCCCGTGGCGCCCAGGACGACCAGGCTAACGAACCTCGCCTCGCTATCGTGTGTGCAGAGCCTTGCCTTTTCGACGTCACCGAGCCGTTGCTCGCCCCGCAGAACGACAGCCGCCTTGTCCCTACTACAGCCCGCGCCATCTCGATGAGTGCCACGGGGAAGCTCTGCGTCGCTATCGGCTCTTCGCGGTTCCTGGCCAGCGGGGCCATCCTACTCGTCGAGGCCACGAAGGACCCAGACACCACCCCGCGCGACGACAGCTTCGCCATCACCAACTACGTCACAGACGTAGCGGAGACCGACACCGAGCAGAAGACCGCCTGGATGGCCACCACGGCTTGTCCGACAAGGCGTCTGGGCAGGTACGCCTTGACCAAAAAGGACCGGGCGCTTATCTTGGTCTCATTCGTCAACGGGACGGAGTCAGAGCTCACTGTCGCCGACATGTGGAAACTTGCGCCCGGCATCGACCCCGGCGCGTTCACGACCGAAATTGCCGCGGCAGCTGACATCCTCACCAACCGCCTGACGCGCTCCAAGCGCAAGGCCGACGACGACCTTAGTGACTTCTTCGGGCCCGCCGCCAAGCGGATCCACAAGACGTTCTGTGGCCCCGCGAGCATCGCAGAGTGAACCTGCCCCGACGCATCTCTTCTGTTTTCGCCGCGCCTCCCGAGTGCTTGCCCCTCTTCCACCCTCTGATTCTCGTCTCTGCCCCGCCCTCTTACATCCCTCGTGCATTCCGCCATCCAACCATGGCCCGTCCTCAACCGCCGCCTCTGCCAGGCCCGTGCCGTTCTAATGCGGGGCCGTCCTCCATGAGTGTACATCGGCGGTTGGAAGGAATGTGGACGGAAGCGATTCCAACAGGAACATCGGTTTCGGTTTTGGTTCGTGTCCATGGAGCCCTAAAGGTCGCCCCCCCAAGCGCGCCTTCCAGGTTGTGCTGATGTTGTCCCGATGGCTGTCCCGGTGGTTGTCCCGATGGTTGCCCCAATGTTTCTCCCGACGGTTCTCCCGATGGTTCTCCCGATGGGCGCCGATGGTTGCCCCGATGTCTGTCCCGATGGTTGTCCCGACGGGCGTCCCGATGGTCGTCCTGAGGTTGTCCCGAATGTTGTCCCAATGGTTCTGCCGATGGCGATCGTTGACCCGATGGTTGTCCTGGTGATTCTATTGATGGTTGTCCCGAAGGTTCTCCCGATGGTTGATCCTACGGTTGCCCCGATGGTTGTCCCGGTCGTTGTCCCGATCGTTGTCCCGAAGGTGGCCCCGACGGTTGTCCCGATGATTGTTCCGACGCTTGTCCCGATGGTTGCCTTGTTGTTTGTCCCGACGGTTTGCCCGATGCTTCTCCCGATGGTTGGCCCAATGACTGTTCCGATTTGATGGCTGCCCCGATGGTTGTCCTGATGGATAGTGGTTCTTCCGATGTTTGCCCCGATGGTTCTCCCCGTGGTTGTCCCGATGTTTGCCCCGATGGTTTGCCCGATGGTTCTCCCGATGGTTGGACACAACGATTGTTCCGATGTGACGGTTCTCCTGATGGTTGTCCCGATAAATGGGGGTTTTCCCGATGGTTGTCCCAATGATTGTCCGGCGGTTGTCCCGCAGGTTGTCCCGGTGGTTGCCCCACTGGTTGTCCCAATGGTTGTCCCGATGGGTGTCCTTATGAATCTCCCGATGGTTGTCCCGAAGGTTTGCCCGATGTTTGTCCCAATGGTTGTCCCGATGGTTCTCCCGATTGTTCTCCCGATGGTTGTCCCGACGGTGGTTGTTTCGGATGGTTGCCCCAGTGGTTCTCCCGATGAATGTCCCGATGGTTGATCCGATTATTGCCCAGACGGGTCCCGCAGATTGTTCCGATGGTTGCCCCGATGGTTGCCCGGATGGTTGTCCCGATGGTTGTCCCGATGGTTGGCCTGATGGTTGTCCCGATGTGATGGTTCTCCCGATGGTTGTCCCGATTGCTACGTGTTGTCCCGATGCTTGTCCCGATGGTTGTCACGATAGTTGTCCTGTATGTTGCCCCGATGGTTGTCCGGGTGGTTGCCCCGATGGTTGTCCCGATGGTTGTCCCGATGGTTGGACACAACGATTCTCCCGATGTGACGGTTCTCCTGATAGTTGTCCCGATCAATAGGAGTTTTCCCGATGATTGTCCCGATGGTTGTCCCGGTGGTTGCCCCGATGGTTGTCCCGGTGGTTGCCCCACATGTTGTCCCAATGGTTGTTCCGATGGGCCTCCTTATGAACCTCCCGATGGTTGTCCCGAAGGTTTACCCGATGCTTGTCCCAATGGTTGTCCCGATGGTTTTCCCGATAATTCTCCCGATGGTTGTTTCGGATGGTTGTCCCAATGGTTCTCCCGATGAATGTCCCGATGGTTGATCCGATCATTGTCCAGATGGGTCCCGCAGGTTGTTCCGATGATTGTCCCGATGGTTGCCCGGATGGTTGTCCGATGGTTGCACCGATGGTTGTCCCGATGGTTGTCCCGATATGATGGTTCTCCCGATGGTTGTCCCGATTGATACGTATTGTCCCGATGCTTGTCCCGACGGTTGTCACGATGGTTGTCCTGTTTGTCGCCCCGATGGTGTTGCCCCGATGGTTGTGCGGGTGGTTGCCCCGATGGTTGTCCCGATGGTTGTTCCGACGTTTGTATCGATGGTTGTCCCGATGTTTGCCCCGATGGTTGTCCCGATTTTGTACTCCTGGTTGTCCCGATGCTTGCCCCGATGGTTGCCTTCATGGGTGCCGTCATGTTTATCTTGATGGATGTCCCGGTTGACATATACCTATACAAACATATTAGTCGAAAGTGTATGTGTGAAGACATATGAATTGTCTCTGACTCGTTTTCCTAAGTGCGAGTGGCCTCGGGAGTTTCAGAGCAGTGGAGCCGCGTCCGTCTCGTTCGCTGCTCCTGCTGTTGCTCTCTCCCTCTGCTCCGAAACCGCTCCTGCTCAAGCTCTATCATTCGTGGGGCCCCCGGCAGTGCATGGTGGTGCCGTGGGCCGCAGCCGGCCCTTGGGCGGCCTCCATCGCGACCGCGTGGCTCTCGCGCTGTCCCGCGTGCCCGGAGGCCCGCGTGACGTGCGGGGCCTGCCCTGTGTGCCCTCCAGCGGCGGCCGCCGCCCCCTGCCCGGGCTGCCCGAGCTGCCCGGGCTGCAGCTTGACCTGCGGGACCGGGCCAGGCTGGTGGGCGGTCCTGGCCGCCCTGGCCGCTGGCCTCGCGGGCGGAGGCAGCCTCCGCGCGGTGCTGGGCTGGGCCGCCCGGGCCGCCTCGCTCTACGTCGAAAGGACCGGCCTGGCGCGGCGCGAGGGTGCGGCGCCCGTGGGCCTGCTCGTCGAGGACGACGGAGCGGGCCAGGACGGCGGCGCTCAGCGCCGCTTCCGGGCAGTGCGAGCGTAGCCTGATCGTCGGCCGTTGGCGAGATGGTGGCGGCGGCGATGCATACGCCCGACGCGGCCGAGCCTCAGGTGTGCGCGAGCTACGACGACGACGAGAACCTTCGGAGGCACCACAGGGAGCTCCTCAAGCAGCTCTGCCCTGGCGTCTGGGTGCCGACGACTCCCGATGGCGAGGTGCTGACGCTGGACCTCAGCAAGCACCTGGTCGGCCCCCTACGCCGGGCGTCCCCGTTCCCGGCCTGGGTTCGGGGGCAGGTCTACGCGTCCGGCGATCAGTCGAACGAGGACATCGAGGCGCTGCGGGGGGAGGCGCGCGGCCTCGCCCTGGCCATGGGCGTCTCTGCCCCGGCTGGGGCTGCTGGCGGCGTCGTGCCGCGCTGGATCGTCTCGGACCCAGGCTCGCCCGAGTTCTGGCGCGAGCTGGACCTCCACCTCATCGGGAGCCCCGAGCGGCTGATCAGTCGCGACGCTGTGGGCATTGCGTTGCTCAGCGAGGAGGAGGGGTGGGTCTCGGTCGAGAGCGTACAGCAGGCCGACGAGGAGGGCCGGCGCGGGGAGAAGCGCCGAGGCCCGGGGCGCGACCCGGGGATCCTCCCGCTGGCGCGGCGGGCTCGCGGGGGCCAGGTGACGCTCGTGGAGGCGATCGCGAGGATGAACGCGTCGACTTTGGCGACTGGCCGTCCTGGGGGTCGAGCGCCCTGCCCGAGCTGCTGGCCGCCATCCTTGTCACGGGGCTGACCCTCACTTCCTACTGGGGGCACTGGGTCTCGGAGTCACGTGTGTCGCGGAACGCCGTGGTGGCCCAGGAGGTGCGGCACGCGTTGAACCAGCTGCACCACGGCGCGACCTACGACCTCGTGGACCCGTCGAACCTGGCGTCTCTGGAGCTCCTGGGGCGCCGGGTGCTGCAGATCCAGCGGGCGGTGAAGAGGTGCCCGCGCCATCTGAGCTTCGAGGGCCTCGACCTGACGCTGATCAGCTCCTTGGACGAGAGCAGAGGCGTCGCGACGTCGAAGTTCGACGCGTTCGTGGCCAAGGAGCAGAAGGCGCAGGGCATCATTCTGAAGGAGGAACGGATGTACCGGGTGGAGCAGGTGTCGGAGGCGAAGAAGTACGAGAGGCAGGGCGACGACAGGGAGAGGGACCCCAGGGCGGACCCGAAGGGCAAGGTGAAGCCGATGCCCAAGGCCGCCGTGAAGGATCAGGGCTGACGGCGCCATGCCGGCGCCATCATGGCTGGGCGCTCCGCCCGGCCTCACTGGGCCTGGCCCCGACTCCGCAGCCGCGAATGCGAGTCGGGCCGGGCTGCCCTCCGAGGGGGTCTCCTCCGAGGGTCGGACTTCGTCCACAGTTTTGTTTCCTCTGCCGCAGGGGGACGAGTTCTATCGCCACCCTCATCGTGGAGAACGTGCCGCTCTGCCTCGGTATCTGGCCCAGCGTGCTGCTCGTGCTGACGACCGTGATCGGAGGTCTCTCGAGGCTCTGGGGGCGCTCAACGCGCTGGCAGGCGCACGGGCTGGGGGGCGTCTCGAGCCTCGAGCGCCCGGCAAGCATCGGCCGACTACCGCCCAGGAGTCGGTCATCAAGCGAGTCCGACGTCGTGTTCGCGGCTTCGGCGACCGACCGAAAGACATGGACTGTGCTGGAGCCCTGCAGGAGCTCCTCAAGTGCAAGGATCTGTATTCGAACATGGGCGAGGCTTCTACTCGCCGCGACTATGATGCTGACAAGCTCAATGTGTTACGACGTGCGCCACATGACCGGCCTCGTCAGCTTCGAGACGTCGCCCCTCGGCACGTCACCGAGGCGCTGGACCACTTCAACTCGGACGTCGTTCGGCCCACGCCGAGCATCCCCGAGGACGAGGTCATCGTGGAGCCCTACTGGGATCCTCTCCTCAACCCGCGCGACCCTCGGAACCGACCCCGCCTCGTCGACTTCCTTCGACGACTTGCTGCACGGGGCTTGGTGGATGGCCGGGCGCGTCGGAAAGCGTGCGTCAGTACCTTCTTCGTGGCCAAGAAGAACGGCGACATCCGCATGGTCGTGGACGCTCGTCAGCCCAACCAGCTGCACAAGCTCCCCCCTCGGACTGTGCTGGCATCCGGTGAGGCGCTGGGCTCGATCAACTTGCTCGACGCCGTCGGTGCGAGCCCCGAGGACTTGGCGGATTTCGATGGCTGCTACGAGTCGCTCTGCGCAGGCTCCGTGGACCTCATGGACGGGTTCTACCAGTTCGCCGACCCCTCGTGGGGAAGCTGGATGTGCTTCGACGTGGAGGTCACCGCCGACGAGCTCGGGCTCGACTCGATCTACGACGAGAAGCTCGGGCGGCGCGTGGCTGTGTCAGGCGACGACGTCATCTGGCCCTGCTTCGCGGCGTTGCCCATGGGCTGGAGCTGGGCGCTCTGGATCTGCCACGAGGTTCTCGTCGACGCGATGGACGAGGCGGGCCTCCCAGGCGACGGCTGGTGCCTTGACAAAGCCCGTGCGCCGACTCTCGTCGGACAGGCCGTCGTCAGGGCGCCGTACGTCGACAACGGGAATCTTGTCGCGCTCAGCGCGCCGGCGCTCAACGACCGGCTGGACAAGCTCACTGCTGAACTGGATCGTCGTGGGCTTCGCTGGCACGAGCTCGAGCGCGCGCAGCCCGGCCTCGTCATTCTGGGGCTGGTGCTCGACGGGCGCGAGGGCCGACTCAGGCATACTGCCAAGCGTGCCTGGAGGCTCTACCTGGCTCTGCACCACGTGCTCCGGACGCCATGGCTCGCCCGCTGGCAGCTACGGCGGATCGTCGGTCACCTGGTCCACTACTTTTCCGTCGTGCGCCCCGGGCTCAGCGTGCTGGGGTCCTGCTACACGTTCATCGGAGACGGCGACCTGTCCCCTGTCGTGCGCTTGCCTGGAGATGTTCTCGGTGAGCTCGCAGTGGCTGCAGGCCTCGTCTTCCTCGGCGAGGTGGACCTGTGCCGCGTGCCGTCCGACGTCGCCTTCACGACCGACAGCTCGCTGCGAGGCTACGCCGTCTGCGAAGCCCGACTGGAGCCGTGGGAGGTACTGGCGGCCACCAGATGGCGCGAGCGCCAGCGGTTCGTTGCCATCGAGCCCGAGGTTGCGCCCGACGACGAGCATTACGAAGGGCGGGCCGCCGGCTTTTGCGACATCTCCGGGCCACTGCCCGTCGAGGTACCGCCCCGGCTGCGGCACGCCGTGGCGAAGAGGCGCCGGGTCGAGCTGGAGATCGGAGTCCCGCCCGAGCCGCTGGCGGCCGCTCTGCTGGACGCTGGCCGCTGGGTGGAGCGCCGCCGTGGCGCGTGGCGCCGACCGGGACGTATCCACGCCCTCGAGGCGCGCGCCGCCGTCGCACCGCTATGGAGAGCGGCAGGCGACGTCAACTTCCACGGGAAGGAGATCCTCAGCCTGTGCGACAACATGTCGTCGGTCCTCGCCTTTGAGAAGGGCAGGGCCACCAATTTTGAGCTCCTGGCGCAGTGCCGCCGTGCTGCGGCTGTCTGCCTCGGGTGCGAGATCCGCTGGCGCCCGAGGCACGTGCCAGGCATACACAACGTCGCGGACCACGGGAGCCGGGCGGCCGACCGTGGGGAGCTCCTCGCGGGACGCTACCGCGGACGGGGCGCCCTGTCGTCGCCCACCAGCGGCTGCCGCCGTTCTCCCGCGGTCCCGCCTGCCGCGGGCAGGGCCGAGGCCCCGCCGACCGCGGTCATCGAGTTTCAGATCGGACGAGAGCAGGCCGAGTCGCTGGGGCCTGAAAACACCGAAAGAGACTGTTGCATCCCGTCACCTTTGTCATCTCAGTTCTTCTCTACCACGCATTCTTCTTCTCACCAGAGTAAAAGGCATCATGGTGAAGTTTCGAAAGCACGCCCCAACGACCGACCCCGACAAGACCAACCTGAGCATGTTCGATGCCTCCCTGCTGCACTCGAGCCTCCTGGAGTTCCTCTACGGGGCCCACGTGGACATCTTGGAACACGCGAAGGTCCTCAACCGGACCCTCCTGAGCGCCCTCGGCCTCCTGAAGTTCTTCAACAGGGCCCACCTGTACACCTTGGGCCACACGAAGAGCCTCAACGGGCACCGGCTAAGCGCCCTCGGCCTCCTGAAGTTCCTCGACGGGGTCCCCTGCGTAAAGCCTTCCTCGAGATCTTCGCGGGTACTGCAAATCTCAGTGGTGCGTTGCATGAGCGAGGTTTTCGGATCATGCCCCCGATGGACTCCAAGTATGGGCCCCACTGTGACCTTACGAGCCGTCGAGTCCAACGTCTTGTTGAACATTGGCTCAAGTCAGGAGAAGTCTGGTGGGTCCACCTGGGGCTGCCGTGTACGAGGTGGGTGCCCGTTGGGGGCACCCGCGATCCATTGCCGGCAGACCGCGCGCTCGTGGCGCTCACAGTCCGTGCCTTACGGCTCTGCCGGACCCTCGGGATCTTCGTCACCTTCGAGAACCCGCCTGCGAGCCGAGTCTGGAAGTGGCCCGCGTTGCAGCGCGAGCTGCAGCGCCTGGCCTGGCCGAAGGTGCTGTTTGACTCGTGCAGGTTTGGCGCGCCCTTCAAGAAGCCAGGTGCGATCGCCGGGAGCCTTCCTGGGCTGGGTCATCTTGCACTGCGCTGCTGCTGTGCTGGTCGCCACAGGGTCGAGCTGCAAGGCAAGGTCCGACATCCGACGCGAGGTTGGACGTGGCGTACGACTTTGGCCGGTGCTTACCTACCGAGCTGGCGCCGCCTGCTGGTCTCGTTGGCTGGCCCAGACGCCCCTCAGAGTGCTTTCGGGCGCTCGACCCAGGATGACCTCCAGGCTTGGGCTCACGCGCTGGCAAGCACGGCCGGGGTCGCCGAGCCTCGCGGAGTCTCGGCGCCGATCTGCCCGCAGCGCTTTCGGCTCCCCTGGAGGCCAGGGTGGGCCACCGCGCTCGACCCGCGCCCGCGCAGCCGCTGACGTGGCGGTTGCACCAGCGCCGGCGCAGCCGCGGTCGCACTGGCAGCCGCGGGCAATGCCCGGCGTCGACGCCCGCCGGGCATCTGTCGAGGCAGGCGTCGACTCAGCCGTGCTGACGCCCAGGCGCGCAGGCCGAGGCCAACGTGACCGTGTCCCCCGCCCAGTGGCCGTGGCCGCCCGGCGCCGCCGAGCGCAGGCTGCCGCGCGCGGAGACGTCGCTGCCAGTCAGCGGCAAGCCAACCCGGGGGGAGTACCTCCGCCTGGCCCCGCTGCAGCCATCCACAGTCGACAGCTACACTTCCGCCGTGATCGGGCTGACCGACTACGCCAATCGCCGGAGCCTGCTGCTGACCACGCCCGAGCTCACAAACGAGACGCTCGACTTGTGCTTCGAAGACTCGTTCTTTGGAGGTGGGCCCAGTACTTGACTGGAGAACGCTGTATGGGCTCTGCAAAGTTCAAAGATGGTCTGCTGGACGACCTCGGTTCCATAAAGCCAAAGATGCTCTGATTGGCGGGGCGGCAAAGCTCCCGACTACGCCGCGAGAGCCGCCACAGTGTGAGGCCGTCCAACTGACCTGCGACGCAAGCCAGCCAAAAACGAGATTTCGTCTGCACAATGAAGGCCGGCACTGACTTGCCTGTTCGCCGATTTTTTTCTCGAAATTCTTCATAGGCTGAGCCCGTGCCAGACGCCCGAAGCTGCCAACTCTGTTCAATCTTTCCCCCCTCCTCTGTTTGAAAAGACTTTGAAGCTGGCCGCCCACTCTGCAGGAGTTGGTGATCTCCTGTCAGTCCCTCACTAGTTGCGCCGCGAAGGGCCCTCGCACGACGCTCTGAACCGTATTCGATCGAACAAGGCCATCCGGCAGCGCCAGTGCTGGCGCGCCCGAGTGAGTGTTCGTATTGAGGAAAAGCACGAGTACGCCCTTCGTCAGATGTCGAAGCTCACCGAACCGCAGAATCGTCAGCTGCCCGTTATACTGACTCAACGGTTCGTGACATCCTCAGGCGCGTGCGCGCCGCCTAGTCTTGTCTCTTCGCCCCAGCCTCGGACCAAAGCAGTGATAATGATTTAACCCACCCGCCCTCCCTAGGGCATTTGACGATGGGGATGGGACGCAAATGTAATGGCTGTGTGTGGCAATTTTTGGTGATTGCACTTAGCCGCCGAAGTGGTCCCACTTCCCCGGCTCGATTCTTTAGAGTACCACCGTGTGTCCCACGGCGCTTGCCTGATGAAAAGAGATTGATG